TTTTAACATTTTCTAATGGTGGTGTGCCTCGTGATTTTTTTCATGAAAAAAGTGTGCCTTTGCACAAAAAAGGTTGAAAAACACTGCATTAGACAAACACCAGCTGAGCTTTGAAATGGAAGATAGGGTGAGGAAGAAACTGAAGAAAGCCCCACCTTCGTTCATTTGGGGTAAAAGGAAAGGGGAGGGGAAAAAACCTGTCAGGCTTTCAAAATTCTGGTTTAAACCCTGCAACAGTAGAGTGATGGTCATCCTTGTGCAGTTTACTTCTGACCTTGGCTGTCCATTGGGCTACTCAACCTAAAAGAAAACTTTCTTTTCCTCTTTGATTTTTAATAAAATGCATTTGTGGAGACAGCTGCTTTTGTTTTCCTTTCCTCAAAAAGACATGAGATGTCTGCTCTTTAGTCACATGCCACAAGCCAGTGCTACAGAGTTGGTTTTCCTTTTCTGAAGCAGCAAGTATCATTTTCATCATTATGCATACTTTAAAGTAAATTGCTCAAACTATGAGAGTCTCCTCTGTCGCACAAACCGGTATTAATGGGAAGGAGCTGGTCAATATATTTCCTTCCTCCATGGAGAACCTGCCCCCAAGAAGAGAGGTGGGGCAAAAGAGACCATTTGAAAGAACAGAGACCCTTCCCTCAACAGAGAGTATGGGAAAATAGGAGAGGAGAGGAAAGGAATGGAAGGGAAAGAGAAAGAGAAAAGAGAGAGAAAAGAGAGAGGAGAGGAGAGGGTGAGGCGAGGAGTGAAAGGAGAGGAGAGGCAAGAAAGGGGAGAGAGGAGAGGAAAGGAAGGGAAGAGGGGAGGGGAAGGAGAGAGGAGAGGAGGGTAGAGGAAGGAAAGAAGAGGAGAGGGGAGGGGAAGGAGAGAGGAGAAGAGAGAGGAGGGGAGAGGAAGGAGAGGAAAGGAAGGAAAAGGAGAGAAGAGAGGAAAGAGGAGGGGAAGGGGAGGGAAGGAGAAGAAAGGAAAAGGAAGGGAAAGAGAAAGGAGAGGGGAGAGGAGGGGAAGGGAGAGGAGATGGGAAGAGAGTGGAGAGGAGCAGAGAGGGGAAGGAGAGGGCAGGGGAGGGGAAGGGAGAGGATTGGAGAGGGGAGGAAGAAGGGGGGAAGGGGGAGGAGAGGAAGGGAAAGTAGAGAGGAGGGTAGAAGAGAGGAAGGAAGGGGAAGAGGGGAGGGGAAGGAAAGGAGAGGAAGGGAAAGAGAAAGGAGGAGGACAGTGGAGGGGGGAGTGGAGGAAGAGGGCAGTGGAGGGGGGGAAGAGAGGACAAGAGAGAGAAGGGGAAGGGGAGGGGCAAGGGAGGAAGAGGGGAGGGGAGGGGAGTGGACAGAAAAGGGAAAGGACAGGAGAGGGGAGGAGATGAGAAGAGAGGATGGGATGGGAAGGGAAGGGAAGGGAGAGAAGAGAGGAGGGGAGGAGAAGGAGAGGAAAGGAAGGGAAAGAGAAAGGAGAGGGAGTGGGTAGGGGAGAGGAACGGAGGATAGGGGAGAGGAACGGAGATGAGAGGGGAAGAGGAAAGTATAGGAAAGGAGAGAAGAGGGGAAGGGAAGGACAGAGGAGAGGAGGGGAAGGAGAGGAAAAGAGAAAGGAGAGGGGAGGGACAGGGGAGCGGAAGGGAGTGGAAAGAAGAGGGAGAGGGCAGGGGAGGGGAAGCGAGTGGAGCGGGGAAGCGAGTGGAGAGGAAAGGAGAGGGGAAGAGTGGAGAGGGAGAGGACAGGGAAGGGAAGAGGAAGGGAGAGAGGAGGGGAAGAGAGGGGAAGGGAGAGGGGAGGGGAAGAGAGAGGGAAGGGAGGGGAAGGGAATGGAAAGGAGGGGAAAGGAAGGGAAGGGAGAGGGGAAAGGAGAGGGAAAGGAAAGAGAGATGAGAAGAGAGGAGAGGAGGAGAGGGGAGGGGAAGGAGAGGAAAAGAGAAAGGAGAGGGGAGGGACAGGGGAGCGGAAGGGAGTGGAAAGAAGAGGGAGAGGGCAGGGGAGGGGAGGCGAGTGGAGCGGGGAAGCGAGTGGAGAGGAAAGGAGAGGGAAAGGAAAGAGAGATGAGAAGAGAGGAGAGGAGGAGAGGGGAGGGGAAGGAGAGGAAAAGAGAAAGGAGAGGGGAGGGACAGGGGAGCGGAAGGGAGTGGAAAGAAGAGGGAGAGGGCAGGGGAGGGGAGGCGAGTGGAGCGGGGGAGCGGGTGGGGGG